AATCTAATAAAAATGAAAAAGGCACAAAGAAATATTTCAAAGAAAAGAGAATATGCAGATAACAAACACATACATCAAGAAATAGTCAAGCTCTTCAACCAGCAGAGAAATGCAAATAAAAATCACAATGAATTAGTGCTACACATTCTTGAGAAGGGTAAAAGTGAAAAATAGCGACAACACCAAATGCTAGTAAGGATGTGCAGAAGCTGGATGACTCACTGGGCCACCATTCATTGTTTGTGTGAAAATAAAATTGCACATCCCCTTTAGAAAAGAGTTTGGCAATTTTTTTAAAGGTCGATGTGCAATTACAATACAACAGAGTAATTATTCTCTTGAATGTTTATTATTCGTATTCATGTAAATGCCTGTACATTAATGTTGTTAGTAACTTTATTTGTAATAACCTCAAGGTTAAAATTATTCTAGACGTGTATAAACAGATGAATGATGAGGTATAGTGTTGTACTATATATATATATATACATATATATATATTAGGAAATATGAAGGTGTTATATTCAATATGGTGAATGTTTAAACTTTAAAATTGTTAAAATAAAGACATATTGCCATTAATCCCCCTCAGATAATGCCCACTTTTTTTTTTTAACACAGTTATTCCACCATTCTTGCTACTGTCTGAAGCAGTTCTTGAAGTTCTCTTTCATGAGTGTCTTTAGGTGTGTTGTCCTGGGCTTTCTTCTCCTGAACTGGTTCAAAATGTTGACCTTTCAGGGTTATCCTAACTTTAGGGAACAACCAGAAGTCACATGGTTCCAGGTCCAGTGAACAGGGTGGATGAGGCTGCGCCATAATGTTTCTAGTTAACAGGAGTTTCCCTGAACATTTTTTAAGGCCGCTACAAAAACACTCATGAAAGAGGACGTCCAGACCTGTTTAAGAGGACAGCAAGAACAATGGAAGAAGTTCCAAACAAGAGGGAATATTTTGTGACTGTGTCTTTTACTGTAATACAAATATTTTATTTTTATTTAAGTATGCACCATATGTTTCATCACACCTCATATTTCTCAGTGATGGAAAGAAAGGGCTTATTGATTCATACAAGTTGTATCAATTTCCAGGGAAATTAGTTGACTGCAAAAAAAAAAAGAAACCTAATCAACCTGGGCACAGTGGTGCATGCCTGTAATCTCAGCACTTGGGAGGTTTATGATTGTGTGTTCTAGGGCAGTCTACACTACACAGTGAGATCCTGTGTCAAA